GCTGAGTTTAGTCAACACAAACGGGCTCTGACTCTCGTGATCAAACATGCAGGGCGCAGGGTCCACCCAGGGAGGCAGCCTTGTTGGGGGAGAGGGAACGGTTTCCCTGGGTTGGAGACCACATGAAGGCCTGCAGGGCTTCACGGGGTGCTCCGTGGCCTCCTGTGTGAGAAAAGCACCCCACGGTGCAGGAACATCCAATCACACTTCTCTACAATGGTGGCCTCTGACAAGGAGCCCTCATTGTTTAAGAGTATGAGCCATCCAGGCTGCTGGAAGGAAGGATTTGGAGAAGCAGTGTTGGGCATGGATCTGAGAGATCCTGGGGCCTTACCCCGAATGCCCCAGGGGAGACCTGGGCCGGGCCCAGACAGCCTGGGACTGCCTGGACCCAGATCCGCTGCAGCCTGCCCACGCTCTGCCCTCCAGATAGGGCCTGGTTCACCTCGCCTGCTGCCAAAGCCCTGGCGGCTGTGTTGGCAGGAGATGGCAGTGGGCTCAGTCTCCCCAGGAGAAGCTCTTTCCTGCAGGGCTGGGGCCCTGGGTTGCCTCCAGCCTCAGGCACTGAGTGCCACTGTGTGGTGGCTGCGCCAGGGGTCAGGCTTCTAAATGGCCAGCAACAAGCTCTTGTGTGGTGTTTAAGGCCAGGATGCAGCTGAGGGGCCCTCCCTGCTCGGTGCTGCACTGTCACACCTGCTGGACCTGTACAGGAGGGGAGGGTGGGGTTTCTCAGGCTTTGTGTGTGCGCGCCATTGTCACCCTCCATGCAACTCCTTTCTAGTCTGCAAGACCCCACGGCTGGTCTGCAGCCAACCAGCTTTCTAGGTGTCAGCCTGGATGCCTTGTGAAAATGGTGACCACCTCCACACCCTGAGTCTGGCCCAGAGGCGCTGGGGGCGAGGCTGAATATCTGCGTTTCTCCTGGGGTCCTGGGTGCCACCACTGGCCTGGGGAACCCACTTGGGGGAGCCCTGCTCTAGATTCTCATAGCCCATCTTCTCTCCTCATCATTCAGGGTTCCCCAAACCCAACCTTCACAGCCCCTTCCCACGTTTTGCTCACCCTCCTGCATCTACCTGTCCTCATGCCTAGTTTGCATTTTTACTTGAGATGACTTGCTTTTTGGGGTTCCAAGAAATCTAATTCATTTTGTTTTTGTTTGGTTTGGCTTTTGAGATAGGTTCTTGCTATGTAGTGCATGCTGGCCTTGAACTCGTGGCAATCCTCCTGCCTCAGCCTCCCAAGTGCTGGGATTACAGGTGTGTGCTTTCCAAGAAATTTATTTTAAGAAGGTCACCATCTAGCTCTGCCACTGGTGAAGAAACCTGGTCCCCTCTGCAGGGAAGGGCAACAGACACAAGGAGCCCAGGGCAGCCCCGCCTCCCAGCTGGACCCCGGGAAGCCGCAGCTTCATTTGGAAGGCTGAGCAGGGCAGGAGGCTGTCAGGTGGAGGATCTGTGTGAGCCTCTGTGTCCCCAGGAGCAGAAGGGCTTTGGGGTTTGCTGGGGCACATGCTGGGGCACCTCAATGGGCCACGCTCAAGGGCAGGGCCTGTGCTGCTCTCTGGCCCCACATGCCTGCTGGGGACCCCTGCCCCTCCACCCGGTCCTCTTGCCCCTGCCACCCGTGCTGCCTTTCTATCCCACCCGTCCCTGGGGCTCGGCACCCAGCTGCAGCCAGGCACCAGCTCCCGGCCCTGGAGAGCCAAGCGGGGCTCTTTCCAGCCGCAAGCTTCTGGGGCAGGGCCAGTTCTAGGCTCTCGAGGCTGTAGGCACGAAGCAAGTGTGGCCATCCTTCCCTCTGGAATCTCTCTGCTCTCAGAATGGGACATCGACCAGAAATTAAGATTGAAAATGTGGGATTTTGTAATTTACAATTTTTTTTTTTCACAAAGATGGTCCAGAAGTTGCAAAATCCTTAATCAGGCCTTTCCTCCTCTGATTCTGTGGTTTTGTCTAAGCTGACGCAGGGCTCAAAACAACCAGAGATAAATCGCCCTTGGCTGGACCACGGTGTCCTCACCCTCGGGGAGTGTCGGGCAGAGTCCCCACCGCTGCAAGCTGAGCCAGATGCAGGGCAGGACTGCATCCCACGTGGGATTCCCAGCCAGCTGCTGCTGTGGGGCAGATGCAGGGTCCCTGCGGGGGCCGCAGCACATCCTGCGATGGGATCTGCTGAGCTGTGCTTCCTAAGGAAGCGAAGGAAAGAGAGCACAGTGCAGTCACCCTGAGCCAGCAGCTCCACTCCTAGGGACATGCCCCAGAACAATGAAAGCAGCTGTCCACACAGCCTTGCACCAGATGTTCAGAGAGGGACAATTTATAATAGCCAAGGGTAGGAGACAGCCATGCTTCCACTAATGGAGGTATAGACAACTGTGTTCTGGCTGTACAGTGGAATACTATTCAGCCATGAAAAACAAAGGAGGTTCTCATATATACTACGTACTGTGATATATATTTTATGTATATACTGTATATTCTGCTATATATAAAGTAGATGACCCTTGAAAACATGATACTGAGTAAAAACACCCAGACACAAAGACCGCACACTGACTCTGACACATGCAATGTCAAGAATCTGTACATCCAGAGAGACAGAGTAGACTGCCAGGGATGGGGGTGGTGGCGTGGCTGACGCCTCATGGGTACAGGATTCCCTCATGGCATGGTGAAAATGTTTGGGGACTGGGGAGCGGGGTAGCCACACACCACTGCCAAACACTAAAAGCCACTGAATTGTGTACTTCCAATAGCTAAAATGGTGAATTTTATGTGTGTGTGTGAGTTTTGCCACAATAGCTATTTTCCAAGGAAAATTAAACAAAGAACACAGTCCGTCTTGCCCCCCTGCCATCCCCACCCACCTCGTGACAGGCTGGGCTCCGCTTGCCCAGAACACAGTGTGCTCCTCTTGGGACTTTACAAGGTGCTCTGCGTCCCCATCCCGTGGCAGTCCAGGCACCGACTGGACTCAACAAGCTGGAGATGCAGTGGAAGGAAATCACGCCTGCCTCACCTCCTCTTCCGGACAGCCCTCAGCCCCTGAGTGACGCTGTTTGCACATCTGGGACTCATCAAAAACCAGGGAAATCAGGAAAAAAAAAAACCTCTCTCTGGAGCAGCAGACAGGGAGGCACCTCCCGGAGGCAGCAAATTAGGCCAGTGCCGGGGTGAGGGATGGTCCAGCCTCCACAGGGCTGAGGAGGTCGGGGCTGGGGTCCTGCCAATGCACATCACGTCACTCATGCCCCCCAGGAATGGCTCCAGGTGTTAAGCAGCCCTGTACTACTCTGTCCTTCGACTCCCCCTGGCCAGAGGCACTCCCAGGCCAGTGCTGACCCGAGCCCCTACCTGTCTCCAGCTGAGCCCAAGCTCCCTGTCAGCACACACCTTCCGAGGCCGGGAGTCCCAGTGACGGGCAGGCTTGCCACAGTGAGCACCTTCCTAGGGAGCCTCAGAGGCGCTGCCAGGGTGGGGCCCTCCCAGCCCCAGCCCTGCACGCTGGGCACAGCCTGGGTCAACCTGCGTCTCTGAGAGCTCCTCTGAACAGGGTCACCTCCAGAGCTGCCAGCAACATTTTCCTGAGCACCCTGGGCACAGCTGCCCTGCAAGTGCCAGGCAAACCAGCTCAGTGTTATTGTAAATGCCGTCACAGTTCCCGCTCTGACATCACAGGGCACTCCGGAAAGTCAAGATCTCCCTCTCTGGCCTCCTTCCTGCATCCAGTGCCCAGCTGTTCTACCTGAGCTCCTTTCCAACTGAACAAACCCATTCAAAGGCTAGCATCAGAGGTTGGGTTGGCAACGGGCAGACTGGTCCTAGAAGAGGCAGGACCCAGGGGCCAAGACTCACATAGCTGAAGATGCCACACACCAGCCAGGGCACCTCGGGCAAATGCTGCCCTCGACAGGGCCTCTGTTTCCCCAACTGCCAGGTGTGCCGCAGGTGCGCTGAGCATTCAGGCCCTACACCTGCCCCAGCTGCAATCCAGCACATCTCCTGCTTCTCTGCCACATGCAGGCAGCCAGATGTGGGCAGAGCAGGACATCAGCACGGAGAGCCCTGGCACGCGTGCGACGTGCACCATCATCCAGACCTGGAGGGGAGTGGTGGGCAAGGAGCCTGGAGGCTGAGTGGAGCCCATACCTGCTCCCAGAAGCTGGCCAAGCTGGGCATTTACGGTCTCCTTTCCACGGCTTTGCTCTCCAGACCAGCAACGTACCTTTAGCTTGAAAGTTGCCCAGGTGCCCACTGAGCCCCTCCTGTGTGCCCACGGACCAGCGCTGTGTGGGGCAGCTCCAGCTCTGCTGGCCTGGCTCTCTCCATCTGGGGCACAGAAGCCCAGGATCCAGAAGCAGTCCTCAGCCCAAGTCTCCGAGGAAGCAGTGCCCACTCCAGCTAGGGAGCCCCAAAGCATGTGCCCCAGCGCTGCAGGAGCTGCCTGCAGCACACCTGAGCCACGCCCCTGAAGCTCCAGCAGCGCCAGCGCCGGGCTCCGGTCCGGTTCTGCCCTGGACTCTCCATCTGGAATATGGGAAGTCATCTCCCTGGTTTGCTTCCAATGGAACTCTAAAGGGGCGTGGCCCTGTGAACTGCCAGGAGGCACCTGCCTGTGACCACCCTGCCTGCCCCACATGTAGGCGGACCTCTCTAGCCTGCCACATGTTTCGCCAGCTTCCAGGCACATCAGCCACTGTGAGGGAGCACAGGACCACCCAATCCTGAATGAGCAGACAAGGAGGTCAAAGCAGCATTCTCCCAGGAGTCCAGGGTGCCCACAGAGACTGCGATGCCAGAAGATTGGCTGCTGTGCCTCAGTTTCCTCATTTATAAAGAGCAGGCCTCAAAGCAAGGCTTTTGCACGTTTGGAGAGCCCTCGCTACAGTGTCCGCCAAGCTTCATGCGATGGCATCCCGTTGACCACTCTGGACCCTGGACATTCGGGAGAGTGGGTCGCAGCTTGCACCGAACGAAAGGAATCTACGCCACACTTACCACACCTCACGGCTTCTCCCGTGTGCAGCAGAGTCTGCGCGGGAACGGCGGGCTCGGCCGGCTTGGCGAACTATGCGAGGCTCTCAACACGAGGCTCGGGGCGCGCCGAGGGCTTTGAGTGGGTCTGGGGAACGCGTACTCGCTCTTGAAACGGCTCAGACTCTGAGGCCACACCCCCATGGGGACTGGTGGCGCTGATTGGGCCGCGGGTCCCCTGCCCCATTCGAGGCCCCGCCCCACCCGAGCCTGGCGGCCGCAAGGAGGCGCGTGCGCTGTGGGCAAGGGGGCGGTGAGTCCCAGTGGGGCTCGCAGGGAGGGGGCGCTCGGCTGCTTGCCGTGACCATAAAAGTCGTTTTCATTGAGCGCCTTCCAGATCCCGCTCTCTGCAGCTCTAGCAGAGAATGAGACTCGGGAAGTGACCTCCGGGACTGTAGCAAACGACACGGGCCAGGGCACGGGGTTCGAAAGCGGTGCTCCAAGCCACAAGGCAGGAACTCTGGGGAGCGGGCAGCGTCCATGGGCCACGCACTTAGCACTTTCTGGCCAGGGAGCTCCCCTACTGAATCTGGGGCCAAAATCACGGTTGCAGCACGCAACTTGAGGTTCTTTGGTGGCCCGGTAGGAACCGACCCCAGAGGAGCTAAGGGATACCCGTGTTCCCTCTCAGCCATGTCATGAGGCCCTACAGTGTGCAAGCCTGTGCTGGTGCCCAGAGCGCGGGCGGCCGGTCCACAGGGCACCTCCCTGCACGCAGCACCGGCACTCACCCTTGTAGACCTCACTGTGTGCTGTGCAGCATTGAGCAGAGTCCGGGTACCCACGTGGGTGGTGGCGTAAGGGGACACAAGCATGGGGACATGCACACAAGCGCGAAATTCCTGCCCAAGACGCTGACGCGGCTCCGGTGCAGATGAGCCATGAGGGCCCCCTTTGCCCCTCCCTTTGGGAAGCCCCGGGCCAGCACCGGCTCACCGCGCTGCCTAACCTTCTGTGTGCTCTGCTGGCCAACAGCAAGCCCCGGGCTTGGCAAAGGACAACCCAGCAGGGAGGAGGGAGGACAACAGCCACTTTCAGGCCACGCTCTGCCCACAGCATCAGCGCCATCACCAGCCGCCTGGCTTGCCAAGGAAGTGCGTGGGACACAGAGGACGCAAGGCACTTATCGACAGCCAGGGCACTCCGAGGAGGAGCGGGGATTCGAACCTTCTTTTTTGCCTGCTAGGCTGCAATTGCCTGTAACCAGTCAGTGAGCCTCAGGGACAGAGGAACAGAATAAAGGGGGGCGTTCCTCCACACCCAGCCAGCAGAGGGAGCAGAGAGGGTCGCAGCGCTCGCAGGCCCATGGGGACGGGGTTCGGTTGATAGTGGCACACCTACAGCTCTGTCAGCTGACTGCTGCCTTTGGAAAGACACTTAAGGGTTCTTCAGTACCGGACACTGAACCCCAGACCATCACGCTAAACAACGGCCTTTTTTTAACCTTAAACTTTGAGAAAGGGTGCTGCTAAATTGCCCAGGACGGGCTTGAACTTGTCATCCTCCTGCCTCGGTTTCCACAGTGCTGAAATTACAAGCATGTACTACCACAGCCAGCTTCAAGATGCTTTGTACACTGCCCCACCAGCCTTTTGCTGGCCCAGGAGGGCTCTGGGGACACCCCTTCCAGCACAGGCACTCCAGGGTCACTGCTGGCAGAGACACAGCCAGGGGACACCGGCCTGTAAGCCTGTCATCTCTGGCTGAGCTGCCGAGTCCCCGAGAGCCACAAGACCTCGAGACTGTCACTCCCCCCTCTCCTCTCCTGTGGCTTCCCATCCTCCTGCCTAGCCCCCAAGGCTGCTATCCGTTCTTGGGCTTCAGGGCATCTTCCAGCTCAGCTGGAAGGGGGAGACACCGAGGCTTGGGCAGCAGAGACCCTGGGCTGTCCGGGTGGGCTTGGCAACCTGGTGTCAGAGCCCTGCGGCGGCCAGAATGTGCAGGTCTTGCGGGCTCTGCACTGCAGCCTCATCTCCACAGTGAGGGCACCAGGAGGTGCTGTCGGGAGGTGACCAGGCGCCGTGGGCTCTAGAATGGTTCTGGCACTCCCCTCCTACCACGTGAGCTCACGGGATACCAGCCCTTGGGGCATGGCCTGGGACATCCCAGACCCCCAACTGAGAAGGAGAGTCATCATAACTAGGCCACTCCTGCAGTGGTGTTTTGTTATCACAGCCTGAAAGGACCGAGACAACGTGTGACCTTGGTCTCTCAACCATGTGGCCTTCGAACACTGGGAATTTGGATTTGTCATAATATGAGCCTGCTGGATCTTTCTGAGCTATGTAATTTGTCAGGATTTTCCGGGGCGTTAATAAATAAGCTTCCCAGACGGGGTGTTATGGATAGTGTTGCTGGGTAACAAATTATACTGAAATGCTGGGGCTTAGAACATCATTTTGCTTTACCTTTAAGTTTGGAGGCCCGGAAGCCAGGATGGCCCGTCCTGTGGTGGCATTGGATGTCCCCTAGGGCTATGATACAGCAAACTCCACTAGGCTGGATGTCCAGGCTGGTCCCCCAGCCAGGCATTTACAGCTGGATGTGGCAGGAGCTCTGCAGGTCTGCTGCCTGTGGAGCCCCTGCCCACACATGAGGCTGTCATCCCCTGGTGTGGTGGCCCTGCAGTGGCCCCTACGAGGACAGGGAAACTCCTGGGACCCAGCACGAGAGGTCTGCCCTGCTGTCATTTCAACCACAGAGCCTGCCAGCTTCAAGGAGAGCGACACAGACCACATCTCCATGCGGGGAGGGCTCAAAGGCTCTGCAGATCTGCTTGAAAACCTCTCCAGGTCAGGTGAGGTGGTGCATGCTTGTAACCCCCGTGCTCGGGAGGCTGAGGCAGGACAATGGCGACAAGTTTGAGGCCAGCCTTGGCTGCAGAATGAATCCAAGTCCAGCCTGAGCTGCATAGCAAGACCCTCTCTCAAAAACTGAAAATGATGAGTCCTGACTGCATCCCACCATGCGCTGTCTCTTCAGCCCACCCACCTGCTCTGGGCCGCAGCTGCTTCCGCTGGATCACGCAAGCAAAGGTGGCCTTCTGGTTGCTGCCGGGCCCCACTGCTGAGGGAAGCTCCAGCATGGTCATCTCCACGCTGTGGGCCCTGGAAAGCCACACGTGTGCTAGAGCCGAGCTATGAGACGAGGGTCTGTCTCTGCTTCCTCCCTTCTCCCTTCAGGTGCTACACAGCTAACTTGAAAAATAACGGAGGCAGGGCCTGAGGTGCACGGCACTAGGATTACTGCATAGGTGCCAGCAAAGCAAAGGACAAAGAGGGAAATGTGTTTTCGATGAACTTTTCTATCCTCTTGTAATCTCAGAGTGTAATTTCAAAAAAAATAATAATAATAATAACGGTGGCACTGGAATAAAATGGTACGTCATGGGCCACTCGGACTCCTGGGAATTCCCAAAAGGGAAGGACCACGACGTGTGTCAGTGACCTCCTGGGAAGGGACAGCCACTCACGCCCCCAGAGGTCCCTGTGGACTGAGGAGCAGGCCGGGTCATGGGACTGAGGCAAAGGGGTGTCCTTCTGGCCACATGAGTCTTTGCCTGGAGCAAGGAAACTGCAGGCTGGAAGGGATGCGTGCTGGGGCTCAGGCCGGAGCGGCCCTCCCTCAGGGCCACAGCCTGCAGAGCAGGGTAGGCAGGGCTGCCGCCTGGTGCTACGACATGGGCCGTGGAGGGGCCGATGGCCTCCGAGTCCGTTCCGCTCATTGGGGGCTCCTGCACAGGCATGGAGCCCAGGCCGGGATGCCCCGGTTCCTCATCCGTCCCTGCCACAGCTGTGGACTGGGCCCAGTGTGGCGTCAACTTTTGTTCCCATTTCTCTTTCCTGTCCTCAATGGCAGGAGGACAGGCAGGGGCTGAAGGACAGGCCCTCCTCTGTGGAGTGCAGGTGACTAGGATTGCAGAGAGTGCCCCTGAGCTCACTGTTTTATTCTGGTTTCATTTCCTAAATTTTGTTTTTAAATAAATGGCAACTTGACCCAGTGGGGCTGTGAATGAATCTCCAAGATGATTCTAAACAGTGGGTGGCTGCAGGTGAAATTTGGACAGCACGGCGTCCACCTGTTCCTCCTCAGAAGTGCTACACGGCCCCTTGTACAGGGCTTCATTTGGATACTGGGCTGTCCTTCCTGGGGCCTCTGCTTTTAAAGAGTTTACAAACTGAAAACTGCTATGGCCTTTGGCGACTGCATATGAAGTAAAATAAAATAATAAAATAATTGTCAGAAAGGCTGCAGTTGGGGACACACCCTCTGGGTACCATTTTGAGATACATGTGGTTCAAAAAGAGGAAGCAAAAGGGTGGGAGAACCCCTGCTTCCTGCCAGCAGGGACAGGTCATGTCCTTGTGGCTCCCAGCGGGACTGACTTCCAGGGAGGGACACATGGCTGCGCCTCGGCAGGACCTGTGGGGGCAGCAGGGGCACAGCTGCTAGGCACATCGGCAGCAAGGTCTGGAGCAGAGGCCGGTGGGCTGCTTGGATCAGCTCCACCAGAAGGACGCCAGCGGGAGGAGCCTGGGGCCGTGGAGCCTAAGACAGCCAAAGCAGCAGGACCCCGCACAGTTGGTCCTGGGCCGTGCAGGTCACCCAGAAGTCCTTTCCTTGTTTTTTTAATTAATTAGTTTATTTTTTATTTTATTTTAGGGAAGGGTCTACAGGTGTTCAGGGTCTCACTACTAGGTTGGACTCATCATGATCCACATGTTTACAGCCTCTCAAGAGCTGGGATTACAGGCATGTGCCACCAGGCCCAGTCCAGTCTCCATTGCCTGCTCAGCATGCCCTGGGGGCGGGGCTGGCACCACAGGCGGGGGATTGAACCCCTGGCCCCTGTGTCTGCCTAAGCAGGCACTTTAATCTGCTGAGCTATTTGGCCGACCCTAGAAGTCCTTTCTACCTCTCAGCGCCCTTCCTGCCATTCCCCGTCAAGCAGTTCATGTCCCCTTTGTCCCAGAGGCCAACAAGGGCTGTGCTTGCCATCTTTCTGCTCCAGTTTCCTGGAGAAAAGAACCCAACCAGCTCCGCCTCTGGGGCGTGGAGGGTGACACTGTCATGGTGGCCTCA